AGACCCAGGTTGAAGTCACTAGTTTTTTTTTGTTATCGTAATAAATAGAGTATGGACCAGCAATGAAGTCTAGTCCTTCGACTCCTCCCGCTACATCTCAGGTCGTGGGTTCGAGGTTAAGTTTTGTTAAATATAAGCATCCCAATCTTGGTGAGACGTCCGACAATGAACATCCACGCCGACAACAGATCAACAACGATGAGGCGAACACGGATACCAACGGTCAAAAGAGGGGAGTAACGAACATGTGGGGATGTTCGTTAGGAACACTAAGAACGATCTGTAAACAGCGAGACTCCTACAACGTTGAATTAAAATCCGTGAGTAAGAATCCAAGAGCGAGAGAGTGAGAGCCCCTTATCCACTTCCGAGTGGCTTATTTTCGGTTAAAGTTATCGGTTCCGTTTATTAGTAAGGATTAGTAATTACGCGTCTTTGAGGGCCCAGAAAAATTATCGTGAAGAAGGGCCAACATTATAGAGTCATCCGGTTCTTTTTATGGGGTTCACCCTATTGTTAATCTTGCGGGTAATCGAATAGGTCCGGCTGAAATGCCGGCGCTCCAATTTCGTTGGATTTTCAGGGGTTAATTGGTTACGTTTTTGTTTTGGGTGGAAGGTCGTTCGGAGCGAGTGCAACCATCGTCTCCAACGAATCGCCAGGTTGCCTTTGGGTTTTTAATGAGAGAAACGAGTTGAGCAGGAATTAGTATTGGAGTCATAACAAGTGCCGGTAACTTGTCTTTTAACCCTGAAAATCCCGGAGATCCGATCCGTGGGAAGCGCCAAAGACCCTTCGTAATTATCCGAACGACAAACAAACGGTGATTGTGACGCTTAATCCAAATTGAGGTGCCGATCCCCCCTTTTTTCACTCATGATTGGGTGGTTTTCGTGATTTTTAGTGGGTTATTCAAGGGGATAATTACTCCCGTTTAATTGCCAGAGCGCGTCCATTCCCGTTATACGTGGACTTTTGCGCGTAAGAAATTCCACTCGTGTTTGAATTGAGTTGGTTCGCGTAGATAGTTAATTAAAATTAAGGTTTGTAGATCAATGTGTTCGGGGGGCTTCCGTGAGTAATTCTAATTCATCTCAGGGTTTCCGAAAATTCGCTCTGCCGATTTCCGGATATTCCATTTTTGGTTTTTATGGATTTTTCTCATTCTCGCTGGCCTGTACGCCGTGTTTCTCGAGGGGGAATTCCCCCCGACTCTCGACCCCCCCTCAGATACTCATCCACGTTTACACGTGGCTATTCTCGTTTCACGCGAGCCTTTTAGCGTTTAGAATTCCGCTCGGGGATTAATGAACCTGGAGCGGCTAATTGTTTAGGAAAAATTATTTTTTTGGTATTGTTGTCTTCGGTAGACT